GCAGAGTCCCCCGGGTCGTTGCCGCGGTAACGGCGGCGGCGCGTCTCCCGCGGCTGATCCGTTGCTGCGGCTGCAACCGCTCCTGAGTCCTCCCGGCGCCGCCGCTCGCCTCGGCTCCTGCAGGGCGCCCCGCCCCCGCCCGCGCCGCCCCAGCAGCACGAGGGCCGGGCACTCCGATCTGCTCCATCCCGTCGAAGTGAGTGACGCTGTGGGCCGCGAGGATAGCAGCGGTCTCCCCTGGGCCCGCGCCACGAACTGCATCCCCCAGCCTGCCGCGCGGGCCGGAACTGCCACACCCAGCATGCTGCGCGGCACTCCTGCCCCCCAACATTTCCTTCCTCTCCCCTCGGTCGTCCCTTGTGCGCCCCCTCGCGCCCGCCCGGGGCACTGCGGGGCGGGGTGATGGGGCCCTCCCTGGGGCGGTGCTGCCTAGTCATTTCTGGCTTCCCCACCCTCAGCCTCCTGCCCTGTTGCAGGTCTGCGCGGCCAGGCGGGTGTTTGCCATGTAGGACTTGGGAGAGGGAGCTTGCCCGATGAGCCTGAAGTCAGGCAGGGAGAAGTACACTTTATAGCCCAGCTGAGCTGCCCTCAGCAAGAGCTTGCTCTCTCATGTGCTCACTTGAATGAAAGGCATCAAATGGGAAGATGTTAGGAAGAATTTTCTCACTAGGAGGGTGGTGAAGCACAGGAACAGGTTACCCAGAGAGGTGGTGGAAGCTCCATCCTTGGAGGTTTTGAAGACCCGGCTAGACAAAGCCCTGACTGGAATGATCTAGTTGGGGATGATCCTGCTTTGAGAAGACTAGACTAGATGACCTCCTGAGATCCCTCCCAACCCTCATTTTCTATGATTCTACAATAGCCCTGCATGTGGGCCACCCTACAGATATGGTGCCCTCACATCTAAAAGTGCAGGGATGCATGGCTAAGGAGAGGGGAATCACAGTTGTGGTGGGGCAGGGAGACCCACAGCATTACTAGAGGCCCCTGCCTCTTGCTCCTGATGCAAAGTTAGGAGAGGTGCCCGGATTACACACCACCCTTGTGGAGTCTGAGCCTTAGCAGCATTGCCTTGCCTGGAACTCTGAAACAGCTTGCCTGCTACTGCTTTAAGAGCAACAGATGAGGCAGGCTGAGCACAAGTGGTGACAGCAGCAGCTCAGCTGGGATGGTGTAGGAGTCCCAGCATGGGTAAGGCTGCTGTGCCCCAGCTCTCCTTTCAGAACTTTGGCCCCCTGCCCCCCAACTGTCAGAGCCTGTGCACCAACTCCTGCCTTCCTCCATGCTCCCCCGTAGAGTTTCCCCCCAGCTGCCAACTTTGTCATGCCGCTGAGGCAGCCTCTTAAGGAATGTAAGAAGTGGGGATTTCCCTTTGCTTATTAGCAAATCTGGCTCTGCCTGTCAGCCATCCAAAGAGGTTGCACCTCTGCCCTCAGCAGCATTGTAACTGCTGACATTTACTTACACGGTCACTTGTTTGCCCAAGTGAGCGTAATTGGTTCTGCAGATGCATTCTTGCTAGTCTTCCTGTAATGGTAAACAAGTCCATGTGAGCCTGTGTTAGTGAATAAGGGATGTGACATTAGTAGCCTTTAGAGGATGTGTACAGTGAACAAGTGATGGCAGAGGCCTTTATTTAGAGGGTCAAAGTCTCTGACCAGCTGGAAGAGAAGATACGGATAAAAGGCCTGGGAGGAACACCCTCTAGTGCAGTGTGTCTCGGACGGCCAGAGCCGACTCAAGGTGATTTAGAAATTGCTCGTTCATCAGGGCGGGCTGGTGAATGGAGAGGCAGACAAGGTTTAATGGTTGCAAAAACGTTTACTTACGCCGCCTGTAGTTGCGACGCAGATGGTCCAGTCGTCTGAACAACCACGTGGGTTGTTCCAGCTGGTGGGGCCCAAGCCAGTTAATCCGTCCGCAAATCAAGCTGGCAGGAAAAGGGTATGTCTGGGATTGCGCTCGGCGACGGGAAGAAGGATCGATAGGTGATCAGTCTATCGATCAGCTAGCCGCAAGTCAGATCTCTTTAAAGGCAATCTGCAGCGTGCTCAAAGCTCTTCGACTTGGGCGGAAGTCGCGCAAATTTTTAAACGGCTAGCTAGCCAATTACTAGCCGCTATGTGTGAATAATTTAGAACTGGCCAATAGCGGGACACAAATTTGCATTCGAATAGCGGGAACTCTTTGCACCGTGCATTTCTGTGCTGCAAAGAAGAAATGCACCCTGCAAATTGGCAGGAACTCTCTTGCACCGAGGCTCTTCTGTGTAGCAAAAACCTTCGCTGTGCAAGAGGCTCTCATGTGGCAAGAAAATTCCATTGTGCCAAGGCACCAAAATCACTGGGTTGTGACACAGTGATTCTTGGCCAGGGTACCATGGGATCCTTTGAGGGGTGCCACAGCTTGCCCCATAATATTAACACTGTTAAGTGCACAAACATGATTCACAACATAAACCCAGAGATTTCAAATAGAAATCTATGTTAAGAGCATTCTGACCTGTTGTGGTCTTTGAGTATTTTGCAACAGAAAAATTAGCCTGTTATTTTTCCATAGTCAGAAAATCAGTGAGAACCAAAAGTTGTCATTTTTCAAGTGGCCTTGAGGCTAATGAAGGGTGCTTCAAGTCTAAAAATGAGAACCACTGCCCTCGATCTCCTAGATTTTCAGGGTCAGAAGGGGTGCCAGGCAGGAGTGCCAGGCAGGCAGTATCTCCATGGAGACCTGCCAAGGACCCCTGCAGGCAGGGCATGTTATGTTTTGGTGGATGGCATGGGGCTGCGGGCAGGCGGGGAGCAGTGTCCAGGAACAGGATGGGTGGCTGGGGCCAGTGCTGAGATTGTAGGGTGGTAACAGCATGGGGCAGAGCCATGATCCACTTCTTAAGTGGTCCTCCAGCCCAAATAATTGCCTACCCCTGATTTAGTTGGTAAGGTCTAGTTCTACACAATAAAACCCATGACTGTGACTTGGATACTGGGTGGTTATAGGGGCCTTCCCACAAGTGTGAGCATCTAGGATTGGGAGCTACGATGCAATATGGTATTGGGAAGTTGGGATGAGGTAGGGGCTCCTGTCTCTATAAAGTGTATGGAAATTATAAGATGAGATTCTGCTTTCTCTAGTCTGTATTAGTCAGGTATGCTGATCCAAAATAAAATGTAAGGAGATGAAACTTTAACCATTTAAGAGGGGAGTGAGTCTTGAGCATGCACTGGAGCTGTTCCAGTTTAACTGCTACATCTCTCTCCTCCTATGCTGGTATAAGTGTAGCTAAGCTACTGTAAGGTATGGGCACGGGTAACAGCTGAACTGTTATGGGTGGTTATGGGTCAGAGGTGGCCACGCATAATGTGCCCTAGTGTTCCAGCTACAGCAATCACCTTTTAAATGCTGAAGTGCTGTAGATTTGAGATACCACCAGTACAAAATATACAGCGGTCAGTACCTGTTTGACAAAAAGTAACAAACACAGCCTGGGATTTCTACACTTGAAGTAACAGATTTTTAGCCCCACTCTTGTAAACATTCATTCATGTTAAATTTTATAGATGTGAACGAGCACAGCAGTATGGTAAGAGAACATGCATGCATGTTTTAGACCTTAACGAATGGGACTGAACGTGCAGCTCAGCATGCCTTGCCATGACCTAGGAAAGAAGGATATTTTGGAGGGCCAAGGGGGTTGATCACCTGTGGCTAGGGACATTTTTACTTTACTGCTCTCTCAAATATGAGTTCAGTAAAGTTTACTAGCCTGCACTTGACTGAACTCTGCAGTTACCAGAGGCTGGTGAGCAGAGACTGTGGTTAAGTATAGAGTGAAGGCATAGCCAGTTGTTTAAAAGAGCTTTTATTGAACAAGCAATTCAAAGGAGCTCACTGATTAAAAACTGCCAATGAAAAGGAGCTCACTGATTAAAAAGTGCCAATGAAAGGAGAAAAAGGAGGCAGTAGACTTCTAGCTACATATCAGAGTGACCAGTTGCAGTAGTGGATTGGGATGAGGAGTACTGCAGTGTAGGATGCCTTGAAGATCTACTAGACCTGTGTCACTGAACACCTGGTCTGAACACCTGGTGTCTGCATGTAATAATATTGACCTGGTTCACAGTGTACTGGTTCACAAGAGTACTTGATTTTGCAGATACATTTCTGAACCATTCCAGCAACTTTAAGCCAATTTAACAGGTGTATGTGGTTGTCTGCCTAAGATTTGGAGCAGTCCACTTGTTATCTGTGGCCATGTTCTCTGGTTAATATTGGAAACAGATACAATGTAGGGTGGATGGTTTTAAGGTTATTTTTCCCTAGTGTGCATCTAATCTGCATGTATTTTCCCCCTCCCCCTCTTTTGAATAGAAAATACTGTTTTCTATGTATACAAATATTTGATAGCTTTTGTGAACTGTGATTGTACTTGAATTGCTCATGTCCATACCTTTAAATGATACATTTTTCTTTGGTAATATAAGAGTGATATAGCTGTGAGGGTCCAGAAAAATTATGCAAGAGACAAAGATTTTTAAGGTGATTTCTTTTATTGGACCAACTGTGTAGTTAGAATATAGTTAGACGAGCTTTCAAATACAGGGCATTCTTCATTGTGTCTGACCAGAACAAGCCAGACACAGCTTAGTAAAGATCAGCTGTAGGAGAGGGTGAGAGAAATTCCCTGGGGTAGCAGACACAATTTGCAGAAGAAAAAAAGGGGTGCCCATTTCCTGGCCTGCAGACCAAATCAAGGCCACAGAGCCATGGCATCCAGCCCAGAGGGCTCCCCGCAGGTTGGACAGTTTGGCGGTGGGAGAGCAGTGGCAATCATTACTGCCACCCTTCCACCGCTGACAAATTCCCAAGCCTCATGCTGCTGGATTGGGGCTGGGCCATGCCCCCTTTCCCCTGCACTGCTGTGTTGGGGCCTGGCCACACCTACCACGTGGCCTGATCAAGGCCTATCATGCCCACCTGATTGGGCCCACAAGCTGGATCTGTCATGTGGTCGAACCAGGCACCACCCATCCAGCCTGCAGGGCCAAAAGGTTGAGCACCACTGTAGTAGGAGATCAAGGCCTTTCAGAAGGGAAAAGGGTCATTATCACCTTTCTTGTGTGGAAAGAATTCAGGTAAAATATAGTGTGCCATAAAACCAAAGCCAATGTTTAGTTCTTGGTTTTTAGCATCCCACCAGCTTATGAATTTTTGTTCCCAAATTCACCTTTTAAAGGTGTCAGGTAGATTTCCTTTGAGTGTGAGGATAGTGAGGCCAGAGAGGAAGTGCTTGTTCTGCGAGAAATGTACTTCTAATGGGGTGTGTGCGCCAGTTTTTTCTGTGCCAGTTCATTCTTATACATAGTAGTTGTTTAGATTCACCCATGTAGTTGCCATGAGGGAACTTATTTTTTCTTTACAATTTAACACTACTTAGTATATCTACATTTTACCTTGAGTAGCAACTTGATGGAAAGATAAATCATTCTGTGTTAGTTAATCACAGATGGACTGATATTAGAGTGGCCATTCATCTGGTTTTAGATCAACGACATTCCGTTTTTCTGGTCCTCTGTCTTTTATTGATATGAAACTGGCTGCTTTTATGTTCTCTATTTTTCACCGCTGGGCACCCCACCCCCGGCCGCCAACACTAACACAGCCGCCTGCGGGAACTCCCCGCTCGGCCCACCCCTGCCGCTGACACCGCCACTGCTGCCTGTGGGAGCTCCCAACTCACTATCGCCATGCCCCTGCCACTCATACAGCTGCCACCACCTGCGGGAGCTCACAGTGCCCCCCCGAGGGAGGCATACAATGTTCATGGTGGTGGGAACAGTTGCACTAAATGCAACTGTCCTCTATTCTTGAGGTACCTCATTGGCCACCCTAGCTGATATGTAATGTGCATGTCATATTATAGATTATGAACTTGTTAGGTGTGCTAAGGAACAAGTCAGCCAAGGAGAGACTATACAGACACTTGACATGTGGAATTGCAAAATGGACTTTTAGTTGGATTAGGGATTACAGCTCTATCTATAAAGCTTTTCCTTTCTGAAGTTCAAATATCTTTATTGATTGAGAAAGCTGGTTTATGGACAAATAGTTTGAAATAGACACTAGTGATGAGCATTATGCAAACACCTACACATAAATAAGTAAAAGCAAGAGTAGTCTGTAGTTATTAAAAACATCCCCTGGACATATAATGACATTTTAGATAGTAATCATTTTACAACAGGTAGTTTAAAAGATATTATTAAAAAGGGCTATGGGAACTAGGCACTCAAATCGTATTGATTTTTTTTCAGTCCCCCCATCCATTTGAAAGTCCCATCTCAAGTAAATAAATTTAAGGCTGAAATCACTGCAGACCCCATCCACTCGAGAATAATAGCAATGTTTTCTTTTTGCTACAGTGCATAAAATGACTACAATAACTTCTGCAACAGGAACTACAGAAGTGGTTTGTGCCAGAAGAACCGAGTCAAATGACATTCCTGGTATTGTCAGCCTTGTCAGCTATTCTACAGAAATTTATTTTGGAAGGATTAATGTTGTTTATCTTTTGTAAGTAAAAATGTTTTAAGAATATAATGCAGTGATTCCTAAAAAGAGATTTCAAGAACCTATGATCTACCTAACCCTTATCTGGGTTGACAGTGTAGCATAACATCATTGAAGAAAATGTATCAAAAAGTGAAACACATGCTTTCCCCTGTTTTTCACCACTCATGTTCACTTTAAGAGGAGGCTTGACGTCTACCTGGCTGGGGTCATTTGAGCCTGGTTTTCTCTCCTGCCCAGGGCAGGGGGTAGGACTTGATGATCTACAAGGTCCCTTCTGACCCTACTTCTATGAATCTATGAGTCATGTGTGGCTCTACTGAAGTTAATGAATATGGTGAGAAGGGTTTCTCTCTCTCTCTCGTATTATGAGAGAGAGAGAGAGAGAGAGAGAGACCCTTCTCACCATATTCATTAACTATTTAGATAGATATAGATATAGCTTCCTTAAGAAATAAGCTTGATGGTTACCCTGTTAAACCAGATAATCTAACTGCTCCTTGATTTGCCTGATTGAGGCCTTTTGTCAATTAGAGAGAGTTTCAAATAGAAATGACAAGATTAGAGGCTTTGACAGAGCCAGAACATGACCCCTTCTTTTTTCCTTTGTTGTAGTTAACACTGTCACTCTTTTGGATAAAACAGAATGCAACTAATCTAGGTATTGTAAAGCACTTTGCAACATAAATGAATTCTGTGTTAGTTGTGCAAGCAAGAACAGCAGTCGTTTTAATACACAGGAACAATTCAGACAATTTTATTGCCAGAATCTGCAGAAGCAAGTACAAATTTAGGACATCTCAGTTTCTGTGTCCAGCTTGAGATCCCTTGGGTATGACTTTTTCCAGTGGGTTGACTACACATGCAGCTCCACTTGAATTCAATAGGTGATGGACCTCTGGACAATTGGGTCCAGACTGACCAGGGTTCAATATTCAAAACAGAGGCTCCCAAATTACTAGCCACCAGTGCAAATGTAATTATTAATCTCTCTGTGAATCTACATGGAAGATTAAATGGTTTGTGCAGTAAGCAATTACATTGATGAGGTGACTGCTTCATAATGTCAGATGCAACCCTGAAAGTAATGTGCAAATAACTTGTAACCCTGAAAATAATGCATCTATAATTACTTCCTGGATCATCTTGTTATGTTTTCTTTAATTCCTGCAAATTAAAATGTGCTCCACAGGGAAAAGGCAAATCTTGCTGTGACGCTCAGTAATGAGAAGAATAAAGTTCTTGCCCATGCTGCATTTTTCGACTACCCAAACTGGAATGTTGTTGATCAGGCTGATTGGGAACCATTCTTACATCAAAATTACAGTAACAGCAAATGCACGGTAAGTAAGTGACTTTTTTTTTTTCTTTTTTTTTTTAGATAAAACTTAAGGGACTTCAATTTGACTTTTGTTTTCTTTCTTTTGAATGTTATGTATCTTCAATTTTAGTACAATTCAAGGAGCAAAGCAATTGGATTACAATTGATGTTAAAGAATTACTGTACTTGGTATATATTACATAGTTTCTTTTTCTCTGGGATTAGGGGAAGAATTCTTATAGAAAATGAACTCCCTGATACTGCAAATTTATTTTATTTTCCAAGTCACCACTTTGTTTTTTGACTTCACTAAAAGGTTTTTAATAAAAAAAAAAAAATAGCGGACTCATTGAAAGCAAATCACACAGAGTCCTAAACGTTCTCTACAATGGAAAGTCGTACTACATTTTATAATGCTATCACTTGTCCTAGAGGTTTCCAAGACATGGTATAATTTCACAGTGTTTCCACCCCATAATTTTAACATGGATTTGATGATATTTGGTGTTTTTTTCTGAAGTCTCCCCTCTTCGAGTCAAGTGGTTGTATAAGAACCTCTGCTTTCATGTGTTTTTAATCGTACGTTTCTAGTAATTGCATTGGTTGAAAAAAGCTAAAAATATCAACCCTAAAGCTTCAAAAAGTAAAAGCATACACAGAATCTAAAATTTATTCTTTTAAGTTTTTTTTTTTTATTCTTAAGCCTATCTCCTGGATATTTGAGGTATGATGCTCAGTAGGCTGCCCATTTGAGATGAGGGAAGATAGAAAAGCATTCCTTTCCTGAGGCAAAATATGTAGTTCTTGACTAAGCAGCCATGTAGGCAAAGACATCTAGGAGTGGGAATAGGATCTGAGTCAAAGCTGTGAGATCACTGCTGTTGCTGCTGTTGTTTTTAATTTACTGTCAAGACCTGACAGTTAGAGTTTGATCCTGCAACTACTTATGCATGAGTAACTTGACTCCATTAAAATCAAAAGGTTACTCATGTGTGTAGAACAGCTCCATGTGTGTGTGTGTAAAAAGTACTGGGGACTAAAAGTGTACATTAAGATTTTAATTAATTTTAAAACATGCATCTGTTTGTTTATATTATAGCCTCTGAATACATTGTTTATGCATTTTTTTGTGGCAAAAGAGGAATATGCAGTTGGATGTTGCCAAGAAATTATCAGGTGAGTTGACATGTAACCAAGCATTGTGAAGCATGTGTGATTTCCTGCTAACTCATCTGTTACCAGAAACTGGAATTAGAAGTGCTGATAGTAAATACTAAGAAAAAATGAACTAAACCTCTGAAGAATGTTGGCTGGAGACATGAGAGCTCTATACTGATCTGGTGCAGGTTCTAGATTTCAAAACCAGACTCTTACGCTGTGTCCACATGAGTGAGCACATGTCCGTTGTGGCATCTCAAAGCAGTTTGAGATGCCGCAATTTTAGAATTTATTTTATTACCATGATAGAGGCATTGGTAGGCTTCCAAATAGCTTTAAAATTGTAAATATATCCATTGCCCAGCTGATCTCTCTCTCTTATTTTAATCATGGAAGAACACAGATTTTGGGTATTTTTCTGAGAGAATTTGGAGGCGGGGGGTTATCAGAGAATTTGCAAGTTTTAAACAGGGAACACCAGAATCCCTGTTGGTGAGGGAAGTGTTGGGACCTGGGCAGAGGAGCCTGCCCATGGCCAACACTGGGCGTCCAACTGGAGGGCAGATAAGGTGGCTGACCTCCTGGCTCTTTGGGGCCAGGAGGATGTGCTTCAACAATTCAAAGTGGGCCACCACAATAAGCACATCTTCTGGGCGATAGCTGCCCACGTGGCAGACTGTGGGTACCAGAAGACATGACAGCAGTGCTGCATGAAGGCCAGCTGTGCAGTCCTAGCCCATTGGCAGCTAGCCGAGAGGTGCAGGCAGCTCTGCTGTAGTGCCCACACCACAGCCCAGGCAGCCATGCAGTCCTCATCCAAGTCTGATGGGCATGCAGCCATGGGGTCACAGGTCCAAGGGAGTGGATGTTGTTGCAGGTGGCAGCAGGTCACAGCCAGGCAGCAGCCCCCATTGCCAGACTGCTGCAGTGGCTAGTGGGTGCAGGGGCCACTCTAGGTTAGGGCTGCTTTGGCAGTCCAGCCAACACAAGGGGCAAGTGTCTACTGATACCAGCTGGCCGGGCCTCAGTGTTGCTCCCCAGAGCAGTATTTTACAATGCTAGGGCCAGCACAGTTGCAGGCCCCAGCCTCTAGCTCCCCTTGGCTAAAGATCCAGGAGGAGGTGAACAGGGTCAGTTTGCCCCAAGTGGCACAATTTGCCCCATGCCAAAGTTCATGTTCAGGCATGTGTGCTGAGGCACAAATGTCCAGCACAAATTTGTGCCGCTGCTACTTGAGCTCCTGCAAGTGCACTTGCCTGCGTGTGTGGACTCACCCTTAGAGTTCTGCATATATTTCCATAACAGTATAATCTCTTGCTAAATCTTTTGCTATTCTTCTTCATATAAACTTCTTTAAAACCATAACTGGTATTAATTTTTCTTTTCTTTGAGTGGGATTGTTTAGTTGAGCAGAAAGCCTGAAAAGCTGTAGATATGTCTGAAAAATAGTGTCTGCAGGCAACCTTTTGAAATGATTGTTAGTTACAGATTATACAGTAGAGAAACTTCAGACTATAATGTACAAATAATGCAGTGCATCATTGTGCTAGACTGATACAGAAGCAAATATTGCTCAAGTTATTTGGTTCAGCTCAAGGTGTCCCTGCATACACAAAATAAATGGCAGCCAGTGCTATTATTAGTTGTACAGTAGCTTTGTAATGTCAAGCCATCTCAACCAGATGCCAGGTCAGAGATCTGCCAGCAGAGATCTGGCATCTTTAAGTTCTCCATCACTGGGGAACTGATATAAAAAGGAAGCTTTACAAAAATCAAAGGATTAGGACAGTGATTTTCAACCTGTGGTCTGTGGACTCCTGGGGGTCCACAGACTATGTCTAAGGGGTCTGCAGAAGATGATTATGATCAATCTAAAGTATGAGAATACACACACCTACAATTCAAAGGGATCTGCACCTCCATTTGAAATTTCCAAAGGAGTCCACACATAAAAAAAGGTTGAAGACCACTGGATTAGGATATTAAACACAGCAGCTGGGGGGTGAGGGGAGGGAAGGCAGCAGTAGAAATTGCCTTAATTCTTGGTATCATCCCATTTGTGACAGACAAAAAGTTTTAACTTTTGAGCTATGTGGATTTATGAGGTAAGATGGAAACACTAGGAAATAACATTCGTATCTCAAGGAACTTGCTGCTGTATTTGACATGTAGTGTCTGAGACTGAATAAAATGATATTGTTTGTTCAGGACCGTGTTTAATGCAGTACCAGAATTGCACTTTATACTCCTCTTCATACCAAGTCAGGAGGAATTGGGTAAGAATTTGTTTTATACTACCTTACTCCTGAAATAACCAGTGTAGTCTTAGATATTTAATATTCTGCATTTTCAGTTTTTACTAATTTTCACCGATATTTTTAATTGAAATTATTCCGTTTTTACTGATTTACACTCATTTTTATGTTCACTCAATTTTACGGGTACAGTAAAATCCCTGTTACCTGGTGTAACAGGGGGCTGTCTCAGGGCTGGTCTGCCATTGGCCCCCCCACCTGTTTCTAGACCAACCACCTGCCTCACTCACCTGCCACACCTTGTTGTTTCTTAATTGGTTCTAGTTACGTAGGAGGCTGCTCATTCTTGCCCTGATGCCAGGGGCGCTATCTGCAGCTCCATTCGTCCCCTACACTGCAGCCCAAGCCTCGCAGATGGCATCCAGGTGACAGTGTTCCCAGCCTACAGCTGAACCAAGCTTAGCCCACGTTGTCAGGGCTCAGACATATACGCATTCATACCGCCCTCCTCTCACTAGGGCCTCTCATGCTCCACCCCCTCTCACAGGGTCTCTTTCACTCGTCAAGAACTTATACCACCTTGCTTCCTCTCAGAGCAGGCCCCTTCAGCCATAGGCTTTATCTAGCATAAACCTTGGGTGGCAGGTGTACCATCTTTTGGGCCTCTCCTGCAACCCTCACCAGGGTAGTGGTCAGCCAATTACCTGACCAGGGCCAAGCTTGCCCTGGCCCCTCCCGGGGCAACTCTAAACAAACTCCAGGCTCCCAGCCCTCTGGTTTCCCCCTCGCTGGGGCTCCACATCTTCTACCTCCTTCACTGGGGCTACCAGGCTTCCCTCCCCAGTAGGGGCTCAGGTGACTATAGCCATGCCTGGCCCCAACTGCTATCCACAGTGATGTAGGGGCTAGGGGTTATTGAGGCACCCCAGCCCACCTTCCACTGGGGGCAGTAACCGGTCTTATATTTTCCTGGAGGCTCCCATGCCACTGGGCCACCCACTCCCAGCAGGGTGCAGTTTCAGGTCATGCCCAGGACCAAGAGCCTCCTGCTCCTACCTGTAAATGTTCTCATACAGCAGCTCACCCATGCAGTGTTTCCTGTCTGGCTGCCAGCAGCAAACTGCTTTGTGTATATAGGCTGCCAGTGTCTCAAAATGGCTGGCGCAATCAAACAACCCGGGGGCTCAGCCCTTAAAGTGGCAGGCACCAACAGTACCCTGCCACAACCAGCACAAGTGGGGAATGGTTGGGGGTGCTGGTAAGCTAAAAGTGCTGGTTACCTGAAGGACAGGTTTCCAGCAGAGGGTGGCAGCAATTGCACGGGGGCCTTGGAAAGATGGCTTGAGCTGCTACCTGGGGGCACAGGGCTCCTGGCTCTGACCTCAGGAGGGGCTGGGGGAATTATTCCTGGAGTGGGTGGGTCCCAGCTGCACCCTGGTGGCTCCAACTGCATCCCTGCCCCAGGTGCTGGGACCTGTGAGCCCTACTGGGGAGTAGGGCAGGTGAGAGACTCCAGCTCTGCTCCCTGTGGTGGGCGCCGCACCTGGCTGTTCTGCGTGGGCCCACGGGGCTGGAGCCACTGCCCGGGGATGAGGCACTCTGACCCCGGGTGGGGTGGGAGGTGCTGGTGCCGGGGTTGGGATTGGGGTTGGGTGTTCCCCGCCTCCCCATCTGGCCACGCACCACTCCCACCAACCCCTGGGCTGCGCCATGCTATGGTGCAGGCAGGTGGCGTTGGCTGTTCCTGGGGTCGCAGCAGCAGGGACTGGGGTAAGTGGGAACAAGCAGATCCCCAGAGGGCATGGGACATGGTGCAGCTTGTCCCCGCTCACCCCAGCCCCTGCTGCAGGAGTCCCAGGAGTGGCCATTGCAAGCTGCCACAGCTTGCCATTGCAAGCACCACAGCATGGTGCAGCCCAGGGGCAGGGGTGAGTAGGGACAAGCAGAGCCTCGGGGGGTTCGAGGCATGGCGCAGCCCACCAGCTGCAGCCAGCTGGCGTTGGCCACTCTCAGGGCCACTGCAGCAGGAGCTGGGGTGAGCGGGGACAAGCTGTGCAGTGCCCTGTGTCCCCTGGGGCTCTGCTTGTTCCCACTCACCCCAGCCCCTGCTGCAGTGGCCCCGGGAACGGCCAACACCAGCTTCAGAGGAAACTGTAAGTGGGTGCAGGGCGTGGGGGGCACGACTCTTGCTGCTATGTGCACCCTGGGAGGGCTGCAGGCTGGGGGGCTGCGCCGGACGATCGTCCCAAGCTCAGATCTGGGGGCACGTGCCCCCTGGGAAGAGCCTAGCACAGCCCCCCAGCCTGCAGCTCTCCCAGGGTGCGCGTAACAGCAAGAGCTGCGCCCCCCACATCCCGCACCCACTGACAGTTCCCTCCTTTTTGCTCCCTGCTGCAGGCCCAGGAGTGGCCAATGGGCTGCGCCCCGCCCTTTCCCTAGTCCCAGCCTTCCTCCATTCCCCCCTCACCACCGCGGGAACATATAATTATTTTCCTTGATTTAAACCTTTTTTTTTTCTTCTTTCTTTTATCCCAATTTTAACCCAGTTTTTGTTTGGAAGATCAACCCTAAAAAATTCCCAGATTTTTAAAAGAAATAAAAACTGAAAATGCGGAATGCTATAGATATTGTAAAACTGATAGGGGTCTGCCCATTTTCCTGCTCCTTCCCAGTCCCCCTCCACATCCTGTCTCTGACCTGCCACGACTTTGATGTTGTTTGTTGTTGTGAATGAGAGGTCCTTGGGGCCAGTAACAACCTCGCTGTTAGCTTGGTCCATTCGGACAGGCCAGCCCCCTACCTGTGTCCTTTGCCCTTCTGCACTGCTTTAGGAGGGTGCCCCCATAGGTTTCTGAGGGCTTGTCAGGGCTCCAGCTATCACGACCTGGTCCCCCTTTTTCTCTTGCCATGCCATCTGCTTTGGTCTACTGGTTAAGATCTCAGCTCCTGGGTATTGGACTTGGCTTGGCAGCAGTCCCTTCATGGGGGGAGGGCAGGGGAAGGTGTTTGGTCTCAGCATGCCAGTCTCTGCCCCCCAGTTTGGGGCTGAGCTCTGGCCCTATAGCAGGGGAGCACACTCCCTCTGCCCCTGTAGCTACAACCCAGTCCTCTGGTAACAAGTTCAAACAGAACAGGGGCAGAGGTTCCCTGTTACAAATATCATTATTATATTTTTAGGAAATATTTTAAGAGCAGGTTAAGCAAATGTTTGACTGGGATGGTTTAGTAAGGGATGATCCTGCCTTGAGAAGGAGGTTGGATTAGATGATCTCCTGATATTCTTTTCAGCTGTATTTTTCTATGATTTGATCATTATTAATGTATCTTGTGGTGTTTATAACAACAGACACGTAGAAGTACCAATCCTAAGACACCATTTATGTTTTTATCATTATGACCCTTATCCAATATAACAGTCTGTCTTCATGGGTCTTGATGCTGTACGATAACTTAATCTTGAAACTCCATTTAACTCAGTCAGTTCTGCTGGCAATTTAAGTAGTGTCTTACTGAAATTCCTTAATAGTTTTTCATACATTGTTAACGGCTGGAAGGGACCTCGCAAGATCATCAGGTCCAGCCCTCGTGCACTAGGCAGAAAAAGTTTGTAACAAGATGTTTTCATTCTTAGGCTCAGGTTTGGCAACCATTTTTGAGGAGATGGTGAGCATTCCAGATTCAACACTTGACATGGACTTCACTTTGTTTGTCTGCCATAGGCACCAGTATGGTCCCCTGCTGTATATTCGTAAAGCAAGGTAATAGAACATAACTTTTTTTGCTTGTGTGATTGTCTGGATCAATTTAATGACTCCTCAGTTATTTATTTATGTATTTATTTGATTTATATGCCATCCTTATTTTTCAATTCACAGACTTAATAAGTATTCACATGCTTTATGGAAAACTATTTCAATCCTAAGCCAAATGGCATACTTTTTCTTGATGATAAAAGTCATTGAACTTATAACCGTCCTTTTTTATTTTACTTTTTCACACAAAAAGTGGTATATATTTTTTCTAACATAGATTGCTTGATAGTATATACATTTTGGTGAGCTCTAACTAGAATTTTTTTTTATGGCAGTAGTACAAAACCTTTCCGGTTTTTGCTGTTTCTCTTATCACTATATGTGTTTGTCTTAAACACACTCCTGTATATTTTAGAGTCCATTCCTGTTTAGTTGCTGTTTTCTTTTATAAGACCAAATTCTGACCAGTTGAACAAAACCTGAATGACAGACTTTGCTCTAAAGGAAACGCATTCTAGAGTTGGATAAGGAGGTCTTTGATTTAGCAGTCTTTCAAACTGCTTACTAAGCCTGCTCCTGCTTTCCTACACATTCTTGTGATACGTGCTCTGGGTCCAAGCCCACTGGTCACACCCTTAACAAACCCATTCCCTCTGTGCCTGCTTTTTCACTGAGCAGACATTCTCCATGCCGCAGCAAGAATGAAAGAAAAGAAGGGGATGATAATAGCACTATTTTTTCTCCTGTTTGTCTGTCTTATCTATTTGGATAGTAAGCAGTGTGATCGGAGACTGTCTCTTACTAAGCTCTTGAAGAATACCCAGCGCAATTAGGCTTCAGTCTTTGTTTTAACTTTCAAGCACTAGTGGAATAAAAGCAATAATAGGATAATTAGACAACCAATGCAGTGTTGAACTGCTTGATGGTCTGCTAAGTCCTCTAGCTCAGAGGTTCTCAAACTGTGGTTCACAGACCACCACTAGTCCGTGAGTTCCATTCAGGTGGTCCGTAGAAAGGTTGCGGAACAATCAAGAATATCTGTACTTGTAAGACTACTGATAGTAAAATATGAGTTGTGTGCTTTGATTTGTAGAACAAAAAAAAGTTTATTAAGTGATCTGCTGAGACCCTCAGCAATTTTCAAGTGATCTGCAAAAAAAGTGTTTGAGAACCACTGCTCTGGCTCATTGGAAATGCAGAGTTATGGGCACATTTGAATGTTATTGCTTTCTATATATATTCTTTTACAATATCTGTCACCTAGTATCTGAGCCCTTTTCACTAATGCAGTGATGCTCACAGTTTTGGTCTTGCAGGCCATGTAATCCAGCCCATGGACCAGCTGGGCCATTCGAGCCCTGCACCACCCCAACAGGTCCTGTGACCCTGTGCCTCCTCCATCTGCTAGGATCAGGCCCTGGGGACCAGCAGTGCCTCTACCTGCCAGGATTGAGAGATGCATCACCACTGCCTGGATGGGATCGGGTTCTTGGGCTCCATGCTACTCCAACCTAGCCCCTGTGCACCAGGATTGGGTCCCATACTGCCCTGTGTGCCCAACTTAACATGCAGGGCCATGGTCTGTGGGGCTCCCCACAGATCCATGGGAAGCCCCACAGGCTGGATGACACAGCACTGGATCTGGCTCACAGGTCAGGGGTTGAGCCCCCTGGCATTAGTGCATTAAACAACATAGCTAATATCTGTTACATTTTGTCTTTCATCCCTACTGGGGAAGGAAGATTCAGTCTGAAGTGTTGTTTTGTTCTTCCGGGGTGTTTTCTTGAACATACATGTTGCTGTGTATTAATGTTGGATGCAAGGTGTCAAAAGCACTTGGAGTGGAAGGTGGTGAGGTTGGTAGTGATGCAACTCCCTGGGGAAGTTCTTCCCTCCTGTCAGACTGGCCTCTTCCATCCTCTGCCCAGAGGAGCTTTGTCCATATTGAAAGGGTTCCATTGTTCCAGAGGGGCAAAGTTGCAGACTCTGGTTATCTTTCCAGCGTTTTAGGTAGACCTTTGTATGGTCTGGACCCAGGCTGTTGAGCACTATGAAGATAAGGACTAAGACCTTGAACTTGCCTTGAGGGCTTGGATTTGACTGCCTTGCAGCGTCTTGGGTATCTCTACAGGATTATACCCTTGTTCTTTGTCTCAGATTGTATTATTTCCTATAATTATTTGTAAGCATAGTTGTTTTTGTTGTTTTTGTTTGTAAACAAAAAGAATGATTTACAAAGTGCCTGCAGATGTTTCTAATTGCAGAAAAATACCAGGTTTTCCATGCCAATTATTATTTTTAAGGAGGAAAATCAGTATTGTTTTAACTTGCAGATAGGAAACATACCTTTTAATAATCATTTTATATATTCATGCCCTAGGGAGTGCTGTTCCAGTGTTTCTTTCATGGGTGACTACAGCAAGCATTTCTCTTCAAGTAACTTCTATTGTAATAAAGACAAAATTGATATATGTGGCAAATTCTGATATTACGGAATCACATGAATGTGAAATTAATCTACACTACCTTTTTTTTAACTTCTTTTTTACTTCTCACCATCAATCCATGATGCAGGGGGGATATTACCTTGCTCCAGAGCCCTAAAAGATTTTTTCTGACTACATTGTTTGTCTTTTATTTAACCGGGAGCATGTTCTTCCTATTGGAAGCTCTCAAAAATTGCTTGTTGGGAAATAACATTTTTTTTTATGTGCCTGGAAATGTCAAGAAAGCTGTTTCATTATTACACTGAAGAGATGTCACTTTACCTGAGGGTTGTTTTTTTTTAATAATATATATTACGTAATAATGGAATGGCTGGTTCTACTGAAAACTAGACCAGAAAACTAATTAAAAAAACTGCTTACCCCTTTTAAATAATATAACTCTTTTTTTTTCTTTTAAATTTCTAGTTTAGCATAGACTGGTGATAGATTCTTCAAGTAAGCTGAATTATGTTTACTACAGATGCCTTGCCTTCCCATTTTGTCTGTATTTACCTTTGTACTTCGCTAGCAGCCATAGTAACATTCAGTGGAAACTCTTTAGAGACTTATCTATGAAAGCGTTTTGACGCAGTCCCCAGCCACCTGCCTAGCAACATGTTCTGGGTCAATGATATGAGATTAGAGTAGTCTCTGTTCCCTCTTTCCCTTACCCACAGGAAAAATATATGCTGTAAATTGATCCTTTGCTTAACCCCTATTTATTGAAGTTATTCTTCGTCTGACCTTTAAAACGTGAAATAAAGCTGTCGTGTCCCAGAACACAAAGCAGTGAGCTTTCATATTGAAGTCCCTTGCCTGTACCTTGCCACTAGACCTAATCACCCTCATTTGTACTTGTGTTTACTTTACAGCTGTGTACAATACATCACAAATCTGTATTTACTGGAGTTTGTTTATGTTACTGGAATAAGATCTACACACAAAAAAGCCATGATCCCTTTAAAAAAATTGGTAGTTCTAGAAGTAAACTTGATGGCAGTTCTGCAGTATGTAGCATGCTGAGAAATGATTATGCTCATGCAAAACCCCAGTGACTGCCAAAAGGCTTTCCACTGGTGCAGAAGCCCATCTTAACATAAGTTCTCAGGAATGAGACCCACAACCCAAACAGTGAGACTTAAGCACAACATTATGCTTAAGAGGGAATAATGGCATTTCAACATACTAATAAACATACACTAGCAAACTGTGATGAAGTAATGAAGTCTTAGTAGGAGTGGACCTCACTAGACAACTCCCCCAATACATGCTGCCTTAGAATAAAGGCAAAACCATGTTCTGCTTATGAGGGACTTCATTTTAGTTAGAGCTCACATATGAATTCCTAGCAGTTTGTAGCACATTATATTTATTCATAGATCCGTTTTGCTTCTGTAAATTAAGTCCAATTGAGTTTCTATCTGTCCCAAAAATTGCAGGAAGGGTTGGAAAAATCGAGGCCCGAGAAATGTAGGTCATTGATAGCAGCTTGTACTTCTATTCTGGGCAAGTAGCTAAAGAGTCCATCGCTTTTGGGCGTCTAAGCTTGTCATCTAAATTTGACAACCATCTGAAAGAATCTGGTGATTACCAAAAAGTCAAAATAAAAATAATCTAGTTCTTTGAAACATAATGCAGAATGAAATAGAAGTCCTACAGCATAGGAACATTTGCCTTTACATCCTGCAGGACCATGTCTTGCAGGCAGCCACCCCTCTCTTATAAAAAGTGATCTGAAAAAGCTTCTATCAGAAATCAAGGCATGTGGAACTCATACTTACTCTAAACTGATAACTATCCCTAACAAAACCCTTCCCCTTTCAAAAGGACCTATTTGCCTGACCTAGATGAGGTTATCACAGTTGAGCTTGGCGTGTAAGTGGTTGTGATGGGATACTGAATCTGTAGATCTGGATGGTCATATTGGCCAGTTGTTCATAGAAGAGCAAGAAGGGAGCCTTCAAATTGAGCGTACAGATGATCATAAAAGAATGAGCAAAGTAAGAATGCATTTGTAACAAGGAGGGCATGTCTTCCTGTGCAATTAATGTGACTGAATAAACTCTGGAGCAATTTGAGCTGAAGTGAACTAATCATGGCATCACCATCTATACATATGTTTAAGCACAGTAATTTATTCTGCCGTCGGATAGTACCTGTGTCTGATAGAACTATCCTATGCCAGAGTAAATGAATCTACTGTGCCCTAATTGCGGTGCACAAGTAGATGGTGATGCTTTACTGCACAGTAAATTAGTCTACTGCACAGTAAAGTGCATGTGTAGATGCATCTGGAGATAGGTAATTTTATTCTTGTGCATAAGGCCAGTACAAATGATCTCTGCAGTACTTAAATCCTACTTACAGATTGTGTTCCAGTCTGCCATTATATCAGAATTTATAAATACAGACTATATTTATCATAACATTAATGAATGGAATTTTGAGGCCAGCTTGCAATTAATTTAAGGCCCCTTTAAACTCCAAGAATGGAGTTGAGGTGCCTTGGTGAAATGGGAA